CACCCCAAAGAGGGGCGGTGGGTCCAAAGGAACCCCCCCAATCCCAGCTGGACAATTCCCCAGGACAATCCCAGGCTGTGCTCCGTGGACAAAGACCCCGCTGTCAGCAGGAGTGACCTGGGTGGCATCGGCCTCAGCGAGCCCGACAAGGCAGCGGTGCTGACACTCATCAGGGAGGAGGTAATGGTGGGGTCCTGTCCCCTCAGTGTTCCCAGAGCCCCTGAGACTGCCCCTCAGTGCCCTCAGTGCTCTCAGTGCCCCAATGACCCCTCATTTCCCCTCAGTGCCCCAATGACCCCTCAGTGCCCTCATTTCCCCTCAGTGCCCCAATGACCCCTCAGTGCCCTCATAGGCCCTCAGAGCCCCTGGGACTGCCCCTCACTGCCCCTCAGTGTCCCCTCACAGCCCCTCAGTGTCCCCTCAGTGCCCTCAGTGCCCTCAGTGCCCCAATGACCCCTCACAGCCCCTCAGTGTCCCCTCAGTGTCCCCTCAGTGCCCTCAGTGCCCCTCATTTCCCCTCAGTGCCCTCAGTGTCCCAATGACCCCTCACAGCTCCTCATTTCCCCTCATTTCCCCTCATTTCCCCTCTCCACGGGCAGCAGGGGCAGCTCGGCTCTGCCTGGGGTGGGATCTGCTCCCCTGTGTGGGACAGCCCCTGAGAGCACGTCCCGAGGGTCCCCTGTCTGCTGCAGATAATCACCAAGGAGCTGGAGGCCAACGAGTGGAAGAGGAAATACGAGGAGAGCCGGCAGGAGGTGTTGGAGATGAGGTACGGCCTGTGCCTGGCACCGCAGGGGGAGGGTGACAGGGATGGGATGGGGTGGGGGGGACAGATTGGGGTCCCCAGGGCGGGGTGGGCTGGGGAGATGTGCCCTCGGTGCTGGTGTGCTCATTCCTGTGTGCAGGAATAAAATCACATTATAATAAAATCACATTGACTGTGGCAGCACTGGGGCAGAGACAGCTCCGGGCCTGAAACAGCAGTGATGGGTGATGCACATCTGGCCTGATCCCCACATCTGGGCTCCATCCTGCACATCTGGGCTCCATCCCCACATCTGGGCTGATCCCCCACATCTGGGCTG